GTAGGTTGAGCCACCGCCATGCCCTTCTTCTTTCTAATGCTGACGGTCAGTCCCCATCGCTGTGCACAGAAGATGAATTCGAACGTCATGCACTCAAATCTCTCTGGTGGTTGCATACAACGCTGCATCATCGGCGAACTGGGACTCAGTCACCCTCGTCGTGGATAACCGGGACTTGGCTGTGCGGTCCCCAACCAGCTTGCGACCGTTTCTGAACAGCAGGTCAACTCCAGCGTCTGGACAACGTGCGCGCCAGTCCGCAACCACCACACTGAAATACAGGTTGAAGAGGGTTGGTGCTAGGGTACATCCTTAACGCAGCCCATTAGTCACAGAGATGTTGTCGGAAAACTCACAAACGTACACACATTCACAAACGTAAAGACTTTCACAAACATACACCCATTCACAAACGTACACGTACATTTGCCACATACATTTGCACACGCACATTTGCACACGCACATTTGCACACGCACATTTGCACAAGCACATTTGCACATGCACATTTGCACAAGCACATATGCACACGCACCTTTGCACATGCACACACACACACACACACACACACCTGTCCTGTCCTGTAGAGTCACTGCCGCAAAAGGGTCACGTGATCCCATCACTGGGAAACTTGAGAAGAGAGAGAGAGAGGACACGACGCTCGATGACGCTCCAGGTGCACGGGTAGTCGCATCCGCTTGCCGCATATGCACACGTGCTGGAAGGCTGAGCGCTCCTCTGCTGTTGGTCTATGAGCCACCCTTGAACAGCGATGCCTTCCCCGCCCCCGGACACCGCGAAAGCAGCGACCACACCTGTCACAATGCGCGGCACAACATCCCTCCGCCGGTGCCGACGCTCCGGTAGTTCCAGGTGGCACTGCGGCATCCACCGTTGAGGCACACACATGCCGGACCAAGCCACCGCGGCTTCTCAGCCACCGCCCACACCGCCCGCACTGACTGGCGCCCCGCTGCTCAGACACAGGCCGCGCACGCTCCTCCAGACACTTATGCCGAGCCATGTCTCCTTTCCGTGCAAAATCCCGTCCGCATACCGTACATACCACTCGGGGCGGAGGCTCAGGCACATTGTCAGGCTCTTGGTAGGTGCTGCGCCACTCCGCGCGAGACTCACATGCAACATCATACCATGATGCCTCCACGCCACGGGCACGTAGATCTCGGACAGCGCAGTCCTTCCATCTGCGGCGTGGGCCATGTGCTGGGCGACGCTGCAAGAAGGAGCCAAACAGTACCTGTTTTGGGATGCGGTTGTCCGGCATCCGCGCCACATGCCCCAACCACTCCAACCGCCGATGTGCAATTTTGTCTTTAATCGTCTCGGAGTCTCCCCAGCGCACCAGCAGCTCTTCGTTGGTGATGTGTTCGTCCCACATCCGGCTTCGAGAGACCCCGAGGATGGATCGGATGCACCTCATGCTGAAGGTTGAGAGCTTCTGCAGGTCATGCTGAAGGGGCGTCCAGCACTCAGAGCCATACAACAGCAGGGACAGAACGCAAGCATTGAATACGCACCGCTTGGTGTGCATCAGCAGATGTGGATTGGAGAATACAGACCTCCGAAGAGCACCGCAGGCCCTGGAGGCTTGGGCAATCCTTGCGGCGATGTCCCGGGACGAACGGCAACCGCTGTCCACTACAGAACCGAGGTATTTGAAATGCGGTACGCATTCCACCTCCGCTTGACCAAGTTGGAGGGGAGCGCGGTCAGTAAGCGTGATGCCGGGGCCAACAACTACAAACTGAGTCTTCGTTGCACTGATGGTCAAGCTGAATCCCGACGCCACCTCGTGAAGACAGCACAATGCTGCCCCCGCTCCAGACCGAGTCGTAGCGAATAAACAAGAGTCGTCAGCAAACTGGGAATCTGTTAGGCAATGGTGTTGGTCGTCACGGCGGGGTTTACGGTATAAATCGCTGCTGTATGCTGAGCGGAGCTCGAAGCCAACCCCGTCAACTCTCCTGACGCGGTGTTGCCACTGGGTCATCACGGCCCACATAAAGATATTAAAAAGGACCGGCGCCATAGAGCACCCCTGGCGAAGACCATTGCCAATGCTGAACGGGTCTGATAATATGTTGTTGAACTGCACCGATGCTGACATGGGGTCGTGGAACGACCGGATGATGTTGATAAGCTTTTCTGGTACTGCCGCACGGCCGAGGACCTGCCACAGACACCCCCTGGGCACTGAATCATAGGCCTTCTTCAGGTCGATAAACACAAAAAATCCCTTGGCCTGATGTTCGATTGACTTTTCCATGAGCTGTCGGACGGTGAAGATCATGTCAGAGCAGCCACGCCCTCGCCGGAACCCGCACTGGGACTCAGGGAGAAATTCCTCCGCGAATACTTGCAGCCTTCTCTGAAGGACACTCGCCAAGACCTTGCCGACCACATCCAGCAACGCAATGCCCCGCCAATTGTCGCACTGCGACAAATCTCCCTTCTTTGGAATGGGGATGAGGGTAGCATCCGCCCACTCCCGCGGAACGCAGCCATCTCGCCACACATCTCCAAACAGCTCCATGAGCTTGTTGTTGAGCTCCTCGCCACCGAACTTTAGCAACTCTGGCTGTATCCTCGATGAACCAGCAGCGGTGCCATTGCGAAGTCGAGAAATGGCCTTGGAGATCTCATGCATGGTTGGTGGTTCCTCAAGGCTCGACACTACAGGTCGCTGCTCAACGCAAGCCATGATATCGGGGTTGTACGAGCTCTCTGGGTTCAGGACAGATGTGAAATGCCTCTGGAACCGCTTGCATTGATCCTCAGTCGACTGGCACAGGTTTCCATTCTCGTCCTTAATGGCGGAAGTCTTGCACGGAGTTAATCCCTCACATGCAGCGTGGATAGCATGAACGCATTTCCAGACGACTGCCCCGTTGAAGCGCGCCTCTGTTGCCTCCTGTGCCTTATTCAAAATCCAAGCCTCTTTGGCATTTACAACGGCTGCGCGCGCTTGCGATCGAGCAGCCCCGAAGCTGGCCCAATACGTGTCGCCCCTCTGCTGACCGTGGGCAAGCCACTCCGCGTAGCACTCATTGCGGGCGCGCAGAAGGGGCTGTATGGTTGCAGAGTTGTCATCATACCAGTCGGCCTGACGGCGTTCGCTCGGGCCCAATACATCAGCGGCTGTGGCAACCACGGTATTGCGCACATGGGTCCACTTCTCCCCAACGCTACCATCGCTGCTCCAGCAATCTCGCAATCCAGTAGATAAAGCGGCACGATACTTGTCCGCGGTGGTCACGCAGCGCGGGGGGCGACGTCCCACATCGTTGACGTCTTGTAACGTGGATGCGCAGGAATCCGATTGATCATGCTCGGCCACCGCCTTACTCCGCAGCTTGCCGACATTAAATCGGCGCCCCCGGCTCGCTCCACGTCGGGCAACCCCCACCGGGCGATGCGGGAACTCAAAGACTATACAAAGCAGCTGGTGGTCACTGCCACACTCAGCACCACGAACAACGCGCACGTCCCTGCAAAATCGCCGATGATCCTGACGCATCAAGATATAGTCGATGCAGTGCCACTGCAGAGAGCCGGGGTGCTGCCACGTCCGCTTGAAGATATCCCGCTTGGGGAACCAGGTATTGCAGATCCACAAATTATTTATTGCTGCAAACGACAGTAGCTCATCTCCAGAGGAATTCAACTGTCCAAAACCATGCATGCCGCGCACACCACTCCAGCCATCGTCAGCTGTTCCTGAACCCACACGGGCGTTGAAGTCGCCAAGCAGAATACAGCAGTCCCTGTCAGGAACGCCAGCTATTACCTCCTGCAACTGTTCGTAAAACTGATTTTTGCTGGCACGCGGAGCTGCATAAGTCGGAGCATACGCACTGACTACCGTCACCCATGCGACTTCTCCCCCACGCAGGGCGAATTTGAGACGTGCAGTGACAAGACGAGGGCCCACAGCCCGCCAGACCGAACCACCATTCTTCCACGCGTCTGTTGCAAATTTATTGAGTGCCAGGGCGACTCCTTCTCCTCGTCTGTTGCCCGGAGCTCCATCGCCAGGCACGGGGCGACCCGAACACAAGATAGTAAAACCGTCAACGACATAAATGTCATCGCCGAACCAGTGTGTCTCCTGCAATCCAGCCGCCGCCACGCTCAACCTGCGCAGCTCGGCAGCAACACGACGACATTTCTTGTCCTCTGCTACTCGGCCAGAAACGCTCGCCGTAGCTACGCCGCCACTCCTTTCCACAAGGGAGCGAACATTCCACGACCCAAACGTCAAGCAGCGCCGTCCCTCTCTCCCACTCTTCTCCCTCTCCTTGACGTACTTCATAGCTTTTCGGAGCTGGATGGAGATATTCCACTCGGGGGCTCGTCACACCACCGCGAGTGGCGACTTCGGGCGCAGCAAGAGGTGGCGGTATCAAAAAACACACACACACACACTCACACATTTGCACACACACACTCGCACATTTGCACACATACACTCACACATTTGCACACACACATGCACATTTGCACACACACACACACACACACACACACACATTGGTGCGTCCATGGAGCTATGAAGCCGAGACCTCTGGTCGGCGGAGCTTAATGGGCCCAACCACCACACTCCATCATTCACCTCATAGTCTGGAGATATGTGGATTTTGTAGAAAAAAAAGAAAAAAACATGCACATTTGCATACGCACTCGCACAAACACACATCCACATTTGCACGCACACACACACACGCACATTTGCACACACACACACATCCACTCACGCACATTTGCACAAACACGCACATACACACACACACGCACTCACACACACACACGCTTTTCGAAGCAACATACCCAATCCATTCACATGTAACAACTGTAGAGCTACTGGGTACTAGAAAGATGTATAATGCCAAGGCACTTCTCCGCTGAACTTGACATTCTGCATGCAAATCCTATTATTTCAGTTTCCCAGTGTCAACATGTGTGTAATTATGTTTAAACAGGTAATGCGCTGGGTAGTTTGCTGATCGCTCTTACCGATGTTCATAACCAAACCTCATACGACCTGGTGATTACAATGATCGCTGCTAACAACACTCCTGAAGTTGTCACTCTGCACAACCAGATGCTGTCATCCACTTATCATCCTAGCGCTATTCCAGCAGACCTTGCTACCACACAGGTCATAGTTGCTGTGTTTGCAGTGGGCACTACAACACCTCTCAATGTCTACATAAAGGGTGAGTCGGCAGTGAACGTGTACCTGTGTGTCCGTACAAGGGAGTTGTTGGTTAACTTTCCAAAGCTTGCACTTCAGCCCTCAAGTCTCAGCTTCGTGGAACCTTGCTGTAGTGATGTGTGCTCCTTCAAACACCAACTTCTTCCAGTGAAAATGCGACGAAATGCTGACTGCTGATTGGTCCATTTAGCATTTTTGAGGCCGTTCAGCACCCTAGCTTTTCTACGCACTAATGTGAATCCTGAGTGTGCATGCTAAGTGCAGACTGGGGAGTGACAAATGATGCAAGCAGTCTTTCATGCAACGACTTGGAAAAATCAAGGGGATCACGGAGACATAATGTGTATGTGCATGTGTATACGAACCTGTCCCTCCTCTGTAGATGAATCTGAGGTGACCCAGAACAACTTGCTCGCAATGATGAAGGACTCGCGCAATTACATGATGCAGGGTATGGTGGCCGGCAGTGCTGCTTCTCCAACTCGCCCTCTTACTGCTCAAACCACCTGGAAGGTTGCTGGCACACCTACCCCTACTGCTCATTATCGCATCTTCAATGCTGATTGCTATGGTTCAAGTCCTCCTGATACTTGTACTCGGCCAACATATAGAGCCATCTCCGTGAATGCCAGCTCCCTTACTTTTCTGACGTATGGTGTTTACGAGGTCGTCTTCCAGGTCACCACAGGCTCTGGACCGACGGCGAAAACTAAATACATTACACCACCTCTCCGCCTCACTGTCAACACTGACATCATACTGGGACAGACACGTAAGTTTGTTATTTTAAAACCCATTTTCCGGTCTAATTCAATGTAAATGAGGGATGGTTATGCAAACACATGATTGTGCATACAACCAATCGTGACCCTAGAACGATTTCGCGCTAAAGAGGTTAAAGACCTTTACGGGTCTATCTCAATGTACATGAGGATGGTTACACAAACACATGTGCATACTATCAGCTGTAACTATAGAACTATTTGATGTAGGTAAGGATACTTTCAAAATCTGTATATCTGACTGCGTCCAGCAAGCACAGGCATGACTAGGCTCATATGGTAGATATTGTCTTGACTTTTCTGGTCAAACTTTCAGCTATCAAGTTTGTCTTCCTTTCAGCTGTATACCCCATGTCTCATACCTGATCTTCCTCGCATCCCCGCCTTTGTCTCTGTGTTTTCCTTTGCAGCTGTATGCCCACTTCCCACTGCTGTCTCTCCTATGGTCAATGTACCGTGTACCTGCAAAGATGGCTTCAGCTGGAATTCTACACGCTGTAAGAGCATTCTTTTGTGTGTGTGTGTGTGTGTGTGTGTGTGTGTGTGTGTGTGTGTGTGTGTGTGTGTGTGTGTGTGTGTGTGTGTGTGTGTGTGTGTGTGTGTGTGTGTGTGTGTGTGTGTGTGTGTGTGTGTGTGTGTGTGTGTGTGTGTGTGTGTGTGTGTGTGTGTGTGTGTGTGTGTGTGTGTGTGTGTGTGTGTGTGTGTGTGTGTGTGTGTGTGTGTGTGTGTGTGTGTGTGTGTGTGTGTGTGTGTGTGTGTGTGTGTGTGTGTGTGTGTGTGTGTGTGTGTGTGTGTGTGTGTGTGTGTGTGTGTGTGTGTGTGTGTGTGTGTGTGTGTGTGTGTGTGTGTGTGTGTGTGTGTGTGTGTGTGTGTGTGTGTGTGTGTGTGTGTGTGTGTGTGTGTGTGTGTGTGTGTGTGTGTGTGTGTGTGTGTGTGTGTGTGTGTGTGTGTGTGTGTGTGTGTGTGTGTGTGTGTGTGTGTGTGTGTGTGTGTGTGTGTGTGTGTGTGTGTGTGTGTGTGTGTGTGTGTGTGTGTGTGTGTGTGTGTGTGTGTGTGTGTGTGTGTGTGTGTGTGTGTGTGTGTGTGTGTGTGTGTGTGTGTGTGTGTGTGTGTGTGTGTGTGTGTGTGTGTGTGTGTGTGTGTGTGTGTGTGTGTGTGTGTGTGTGTGTGTGTGTGTGTGCCGAGTGTGTCCCATATGGTGCAGTGGTATGTGCAGTCGATTTCCAATCGAGAGGTTGCGGGTTCAATTCCCGACGATTATGGTCGCACACGTCTTTCTTCTCTTTCTCGGACTCTTCCTGACTTTTCTTTCATTCTCCTGGGTGGTTACCAACAGCCAGTGTATGCCGGAGTATGTGGTGTGGTGTGTGTGTGAAGAGAAAAAAAGGGAAAAATGAAAAATAGGGATTCACTGGCAAGAAAAAGTCACTTCAAACAGCTGTGTGGTGGATACCAGGCTAAAAATAGTGGCGGTCAATTCATTAGCCTTGCAAGCTGTTGAATGGTGTAATACCAGCACAAGTTGCTATGTCTTACATAGCTGCTCGCTATCATCGCTTCCGCGATGGGCATGTCTGAGGTCTGAGGTGTGTGTGTGTGTGTGTGTGTGTGTGTGTGTGTGTGTGTGTGTGTGTGTGTGTGTGTGTGTGTGTGTGTGTGTGTGTGTGTGTGTGTGTGTGTGTTTCACAAAGACCACTTAATGCCAAACATGAGATGCAGCTAGGGGAAGCACGCACAACCTGAATCGTGGCAGTGGTGGTGAGGTTTAGGGAGCTCCGCCGACCTAGGGTCTCGACTTCATAGCCACCTAGACGCACCAAGAGTGGGTGGGGAGGGAGAGAGAGAGAGCAGGAGAGAGAGAGAGAGAAAGAGAGAGAAAGAGGGAGGGAGAGAGAGGTTGCGAGTGTGTGTGTGAGTGTGTGTGTGTGTGTGTGTGTGTGTGTGTGTGTGTGTGTGTGTGTGTGTGTGTGTGTGTGTGTGTGTGGTGTGTGTGTGTTTTGTTCCCTCTGGTGACGGTTTGAATTTTCCGAGCCCCCTGGTTGTCAAAAGTAGTTAGTTCCACGAGTCTCCTGGGGCGGCTCTGGTCCACCAGGGCCGTCCCAGGACATGTGATTCTCAGCGCAAGAGAGAGTTCAGGGCCAGCGCAGCAAGAAGACGGGGTGTCGAACGATGGCACCACTTCTTGTTGCGCCTGAATCTCCCACTCGCGGCGGATTGGCAAACCCCCGAGTGGACAGAGACCAGCGCTTCAAAAAATCTGCCCAAGCACGGAGAGAGAGGAGGAGACGCTGCCTGATCCGCGTCGGATCCTGGAATGTTCGTTCTCTCGTTGAGAGCGAAGGGAACATCGAAACGGCAAGTAATCAAAACAAGGTTGTTGAAGACAGGAAACTGGACCTCGTCATCTCCGAACTACATCGACTCAGCTTGGACGTCGCTGGTGTACAAGAAACACACTGGTTTGGTGAACATCTATACTAGGACGACAAAGGAAATACAGTGATAACGTCTGGGCGAGCTGTGGACGCAAATACCCATCGTCGTCGAGGAGAAGGAGTTGCTCTAATACTCAATAAATTTTCGTCCCAGAACCGCCCAACAACGGATGAACGTGCCAAGTTTCCACTAATGTGTCAGCACTGCTCTCAGAGATTTCGGCAGTCCAGGGACCTGACCCGGCACCGGCGTGTTTGCTCCTCTCCCTCCTCCCGCAATGGGACCACGTAACCTTTAAGGCAGTGGGTCAACAGGACAGGACAGGACAGGTGTGTGTGTGTATGTGTGTATGTGTATGTATATGTCTATACAAAAGAGAACGACCAAGGAAGTACAAGTTACGCTATACTGTACACTA